AAATGTCATATACAATAAGACCTTTAATTATGATGAACAGATATAAGATTTGATTATAAAGGAGAGATATAAGACATTTAATTATCCAACTCTTGTCCATTATTGTCACCTACAAATGAATGAAGAGGTAAACAAAAATGATTTGATTTTTAAAAGTATTAAAATAAATGAGGCTATTCAATACAGTTGTTCAAAATGAATTAGTTTTTAGAATATGGGGTGTTTTATTTAATTTCCTCTTAGGGCTCCTTGTTTGGTTGTAGGTCATTTATTTTTACTTTGGATTAGTTAAGTTGTTATAGACTTCAGAAAGTCATGTTTCCCACAAATTTTTATTCTTAATAATTTATATGTTGTCTAGTTTCCATTTTGGTTGTTAGTCAGAATCTAGCATCATGTCTGCTGGTCACCACTAGAAAAAAAACTCTACATTCGTAGTACTGACTCTGCCTCATGTCCACACACACTGTTCTCACTTTTTTTTTTTATTATTACTTAAAAAAAAATAAGAATATTTATCTAGTTTAATACTATTATTTTTAATTCATTGATCCACATATAAGTTGTAATTGTGTATGTCTATTGATAAATTAAATAAAATTATACATATTCAGTATTAAATTAATCACTGATAAAACTTATCATATTGATTTGTAAAAAATTACAAATAAAGAATTTGGTTCACTCACTCACACTTATACTCTATTGCTCATAAGAACCCATCATTCCCACATACACACATTCATTTGGGATAAATTTTTTTAGTCTGATTTTTTGGCTATTTTAACATGACTTAAAAAATTCTATTTAGATTCAATTTTGACTTTTTTTTTTTTATAGTTCATTTTATGGTTGTGAAAAAAAAGATAAAATGATTATGATTTATTTGCGATATTTTATCTTATTAACTAAATTAATCTATTTTGTTTTTATTAGCTAATTTAGCCAATTTAGCTTAATGCCAAACAAAACCAGTATAATAATCTTATTTATCAGATGCACCACAAAGTTGAATGACGGAATAAAAAGAACTTTTAACAATGGGCGTTCAGATTTACACTAAAAATTATTCAAAATTTAAAAAGGAAATCGTTCACTGGAAACAGAGGAACAAATCATTCACTGGTCAACTAAAGCAGTAACTAATCAATATGCAATGTAATGTACACCTTGCTATAGCAAGATTTTGATCCATGAGATCAAACAACTTATATCATAGGCAGTTGAACTCATGTATTGACGCAGTAATATGCTAAAATACATGTTGTACTCAAGTCAAGTGCCAGCATGATCAGGTAGTAAAGATACACAGATATACTTATATACATATACATATACATATAGAGAGAGAGAGGGAGGGAGAGTGAGAGAGAGAAAGCATACGCGAGACGGAGCATCAATGGAGCAGAGTTCTTCTTAGTGATGAAGCCTCTGGATCTCGCGGCGGTGGCGGTGGATCTGCGAAGATCGGTAGAGGAGGAGGAGGCGGCGGCGTGAAATGTTTTTTTTTTTTTTTGATCGGCAAAAACGAAAAAACTTTATTGATAAAAACCAAACAAAGTAAGAAGGATACATCAATAAAGAGGAGTTTGGAGCTAAGCGAAGCTCCAACCTCCTAGTTGGTGAGGAACCAACAGAAAAAGTAAAAAAACAATAGAACATAACAAGCAAAACAGAACATAAACCAGAAAATCAGTGCAATCCAAGGGAAAACTCAGCAGATCAGTAGACCAGCAGCAAACCCCCATTAACAGTATCCCAGTGGGAAGCTCCAACCGTGTGAGAGACTCCAATCCTCAATCCCTCAGATTCAGAACCACAACACTATGCAGCCCAACTGAATTCATAAACAAAACAGCTGAATCAACTCCTCTGCCTACCAACAATGCAGCCCAACTGAAACCATAATAAACCAACTTAAACAAACTCCTCTGCCTACCAAACAAAAAACAGAATCAACCCACAGAGCTTCAGCAAGACAGCAATTAACAACTACAGGAATGGGGTGAAATGTTTTAGACAGGAATGGGGTGTGGATCTGCAATCTGTGTGAATCGCATGAACCTGTTTTGGTTGCTTGCTTTGGTTCTCTTACTTGAGAATTTTTATGGGAAATTAGCTTCTCAATGTGGATGTATGTATGTGTAGATGTGAACACAGAAGATCGTAGAAGCAGATAGATTCAAAGATGTGATTTGAAATGAGGTGTTTAGCAGAGAAAATTTGGGAGAGAAAAGGTGGGTTTGGTCTGGATTGGGTAGAGAAAGAGAGGATGAGAGAGAGGAGTCAGGGCGTGACTCGTGAGATATATAAAATAGTTATCGGCGACTAAAATTTTTCAGTCGCTAAAAGTATTTTATAAATCCCTCCAAAATATTTGAAATGTCTCCCCACAAAAATTTTATTTCTTTGGCGACTAAAATTCTTTTTCGTCGTTGAAAATAAACTTTTGGCTACCAAAAGTTTAGTCGCCAAATGTAAAAAATAATTTTTTTTATTTTTCATTCGGTGACTAAATAGTTTTAGTAGCCAAAACTCAATATACGGCGACTAAAATTCTTTTTTGTCGTTGAAAATAAACTTTTGAATACCAGAATTTTGGTTGCCAAAGGTAAAAAAAAAAAATTTATTTTTCATTCGGCTACTAAATAATTTTAGTAACCAAAACTCAATATACGACGACTAAATTTCTTTTTTGTCACTGAAAATATACTTTTGGCTACCAAATTTTTGATTGCCAAATGTAAAAATATTATTTTTTATTTTCCATTCGGCGACTAACGGTTTTAGTAGCTAAAACTCAATATACGGCGACTAAAATTTTTTTGTCACCAATTCTGGCATTTTTAGCGACTAATTTTTTTTTAGTTGCCAATAACCAATAAACCCCGACTAAAAAAATTAGCAGCTAAATATTTTACTTTTGCCGACTAAAAAAAATTTTTAGTTGCCAATTCCACAACTTTTGGCTACTAAATTTTTTTAGTCGCCAATTTTAGTCGCTGAAGGTGCATATTGTTGTAGTGTTATCTTGTCAATCTACATGGACCGCTTGAGCAAAGGAGCTTGAACTCGAGCACAAGTTAAGATGTTGGTCTTCTAGTATTTCAATCTTTGCTTTGAGATATTGAGAGGTTTATTTTACCACTGAAGTGACAACTTTAGCGCTCGAGCGAAGTGAGAGGTGTTTTGTTTGTTCCACCGCCTCTTAGACACACTGCTCGAACGGTCTTTCCTTTACTCGAGTGGTATTCACAACCCTATTTTGTTTAAATCTACCTTAATTGCATATTTTAAGGTTACGACTTCTAAATCTGAAACTTGAGACTTGAGAACTTTTGTATATTCTTATGGACAACTTTGCTATTGTTTCCCTTGATTTTGTGAGTTTGTTGCCCCACATTGTTTAAATTGTACATATCAATGGGCTTGTTATGATTCAACTTTTCTAGAGCATTCATCGGTGGATTCCGAAGGGTTTGAGCTTGGAGGCTTTGAAGGTATTCGAAGTAGCTCCTCCTTATGGATTCGACTTGGATATTATGGATTCAACACTAGGATAATCAATTCTAAGATGAAGATGTTGGTGGAAGAGACACAAAGAGTGGAAGTCAATTCTTGAGTGAGCGTTGGGTCATGGCGTGTACTCTTGTGTAATTTCATTATCTTTATAGTGGCTTTTAGTTCGTGATTTTTTTTATCACAATTAGAGGTGCTCCAATTTTAGTTTTTTCACGTTAAATCTTTTGTATTGATTTATCAATTTGTGAAACAACAAGCTCAATCACTTTCGTTCGTGCAAGATGATTTAGATTATTTGTTTTGTGTGTTTTTGGGATTTGTAGTAATTGAATATATTTCGAATCATGAATCACATAACTTAGGATTTTTCATTAGGCATGTTGTATGCGTTATTTTTTTTATCTAATCATTTGTGATTATTTGATATTTAAGGGTTAAAAGTCTTGAGTGCTAACATATACATAGCTATTATAATGTAAACATAGTTTTTTTCAGGGATAGTGTAATTTTAATTTGGGAAATTAGCATTCAATTATGTGAAATAAATTAAAATTTTCTTTCACCAAAGGATGGTTCAAAAGATTATTTTTACTTAGAGTGCCTTTAAGAACACGTCATTCACTAATCTATACAAGAAGGGAGGGCTAGTTTTGGTCCAGAAGGCCTCCCTAACTTTGCTCCGTTTGTTTCAACGAAAAATATATTTTAATGAAAAAAAAAATTTACAAAAACTTTTTCATAAAATGTTTTCCTTAAAAATTGTTTTCTTACATTCAGTTCCGTTTTTCAAACTAATGTACTATTACTTGCATTAGTGGTGATAGTAGTGGCAGCAGAGGGATGGAGGTGGAGGTGTTGGTGGTGGCGGCAGTGGTATGGTGATGCTTGTAGTGGTGTGGTGGTAAAGGTGATAGTAATGGTGGTAATGCAGTAGCATTGGTGAAACTTTAGTTCGGAAAATATTTTTCACCTTTCAAAAACAGAAAATATTTTCCGTCCAAATAGGCTTGTTTTCTGTTGATCATGGAAAATGTTATTTTTATTTTCCATTGTAACAAACACCAATCAATGCAAAAATATGTTTTAGAAAATATTTTTTGCCCAAACAAACGAAGCATTAACTCTATTTTTTATTATATATATATATATATATATATATATATTTGTTCCAAAAGGCCGCCCTAGCTTTCACAAGTTCAACCACTTTAGAGCCCTAGAAAGAAGAGTTGCTAAAATTTTCATTGCACTTGTGTAAATCATTGACAGAGAAAATACTTGAACTGTGTGTATGAATCCTCTTGATTGTCGCTGTATCCAAGATGATGGACTGCCCACTGATCATTACAAATTAGAAATTAACTTAAGATCTATCTAGGTTAATCATAAAGGGAGAGACCTCTTCCATCTATGCTGGAGGGTCGAAAAACTAGGCAGCCATTGTCAGCAGGTCCACAAACTAGGCAACAATTGGAGCTAAACAATGAGGAAGAGAGTTTCCTTCGCTACCCACATGAGAAACCAAACTACTCCTAATTACTCAACAGCTAGAAATAGCCAACTAATATTTTTACTAAAATCAATTTGGTATTTTGAAATACCAAATTATAAACTACACTGCCCAGTTAAACTTTCATTACAGACAACTACCACCAAAATAAAAGAACTTGTATACTCATTTAAATGTCAAATTAGTAAAAGTACGTGCACACAATTTTCACATACACTGTCTTTACAACATAAGTATCTATACTATTATATAAGTATCTATACTATTATATTACCTAAAGAAGACACATAAGGAACTATTACATAATCTACTCTCTAGTGGGACAGTACTCAATTATCTGTTCTTTTGAACACACAAATTTGTCCACATCTTCTGGGTATGATAATCTAGATAGGATAGGTCGTGATCCAGTAGGAAGACTTGAACTACGCATGACTTTGGCATAACCATTCATGCCCCAACTTTTACCCCAAGAATTTTGAATCACCCAGAAATTCTTCCCCGTCTCCTTATCTGTACCACATCCCATTAGCAATACGGAATGATTTGCAACTTTGGTAAGAATCTCATTGGGTTCTTCGTATATACCCTACAATATGAATAATAACTCATAAAAAAAAAATGCAACTATTAAATAAAATAAAGCATAAACCTTCTTGTATTTTTTCAACTTTGCACTGATACAAATTGCTGCACCTAGAGGATGTTTCTTCAGAACTTCAATTATGCCATCCTCATCTTCTTTGTCTATGTTCTTGAAGCTTTGAATTCTCAAGGCAGGCTTTTATAACAAAAAATAAGTAAATAAAATAATATCAAATCAAATCAACTAAGCAAAATAGTAATTTTGATTTCATAAAATAAAAATAAAATTATATATATGTTTACCAAATCCTTGTCTTTATTGACACAAGGGTGTTTTTGGGCTTGGAAAGGACAATCAATCTCACTTCTTATGCCATATTGTATGGCATATCGAAAGCCTTCGTTGATCGAGCATACATAACATGCTTCATAATCTTTCTTCACACAATTGATCAATTCTTGTGGAGCTAATTGAAATAGTTCCCTAGGTTGATTGTTAATATTATACAATGACTCAATAGCTGCACATGAAACGATGGCCCAACAGCAATCTGGTAGGGAAAAAAAACATATGCATATGAAGAAAAAAAAATGTAGTTTAAGATTAATATAAAAAGTACTAAGATTTAATGATCTTACGACAATGATGTTGATCTCTGACTTCATTAAGTAAACCCTTTTCCATCCAATTAATAGTCGGCATATTATCAAAAGAGATAGCCTACACATAAAAAAATAAAATATAAATTAAATAATTACGGCATATACTTTACATAATCAATTTGTGTACAACTTTAACAAATAGTACTTTATACAAGATTCAAACTTAAAAGCACCCACTACAACTATGTTTTTGCCAAATCTTTGCAATTCATCCTTCTATAGTAACTTTATCCAAACTAGGCCTAACTATAAGTTAATATATCCAAACTAGGCCTAACTATAAGTTAATATATAGCATACAATTTACTAATCATGTAAGGAATATTCAAGACATTTATGTTTTAATAAACCTTTTGCAGTGCACTACAATTTGGTAAGGAATAGCCATTTTGCTTGCTCTCCACTGGTCTATTTAGATATAAGTGTCTTCAATGGTGTGCAGCCCAACTTGGCAGACTTGGGTGAAATTGCCAAGGTGAGAATTGCACTCTGGGTGAAGTATAACACTTCTGGATTGGCTTTCTCAATCCATGTTTTCGTCTCTAATTTAAGTTAGATTTGGTTTTTGCCTCCACAGTGGCAGGTGATCCTAGGTGTTTTTAGCTTGATTGTTCTTTTGTTATTGGGGTGGTCAGGGTACTGCACCTATGTATGGTTGTTCTATTTGAGTTGGAAACTCTTCAACCCTTTTTCTTGGCATCAAGTTGCACGTGATTGGTCTTCCACATGGTGCCAATCTAGTTGGGATATGGTGTTTAGACAATGATGCAATATCTCCCAAGCTCTCATTCTGTTTTCTTTTGTCTCTTGTTCTCCTTTTGATTTTGTTTTAATAAAAATCTTCCTTTGGCTTTGCCATTCAAAAAAAAAAAAAATGAATAGTTTTTGAGTACATTAATTTTTAACATATATGTTTAACTTCAATTTTTGGATGGTTAACATTTTTTTTTTTTTTCGGATCAGCAAAAAATAAGCTTTATTGATGAAAAAAGCAATATACGTGCCAAACTTGCATCAACAAAGAAGGAAAGTGCACTGAGCATCATAGCTAATCTCAACAATCTCAACTAGGTTGGCACCGCAAAGAAAGCACAATCATATACTAGCACTTAACCCAAGATTAGTGAGGAACCAACCAAAAACGACCAAAGGAAGAAAGAAAACCACAGCAATAATTTTTTTTTTTTTTTTTTTTTGATGGTTAACGTGATGCATGTAACATTAATTTTCATTATTTTGTTACTGGAGTTATTTGAAATATATATCAAAATATAAACTATTTAGGTATGAAACATATACATAAGAACAATTCTTAAGGATATTGTTAAATTATTCAAATAATAATTTTAAACTTTACATCTAAACAACATAGCGAAACTTAAATATGCATGTAAACATCATTTCTTGAGTTAGATTGGGTTACCAAATTAATAATTTAGTGTTAAATCAACGTAAATTGATTCTCTAATTTTCTCAAGTAGTAAATCAACTTGCTCAAGAATCAGAGCATACCAAACCAAAATGTTTGGGTTGGAGAGCTTTAAGGCTTAACTTGACCAAGTTACCAAGTTGCTTGCACCTCCATTTAAAAAGAAAATAAAATAAAAAATAAAGTGAGGTGTTTAGAGAAAAATTCTTAAACAAGTAAACAAAAATGACGAAGGTGAGACATTCAATAAATTTCTTTAGGAGAATTGCTGAAGTGTTTTTTTTTTGGGTTGCATGAAATTTGTATTTTGTGATCGTCATCCTCGACGCATTAGTTTTTCAGGTGAGTGTATGCATTTATAACTTTACATTAATATTGAAAGAATTGGAAATTTCACAAAATTTTTAAAAATTGTAATAATTTTGAAGGTTCAAAGTTAAAGAGAAATTAAAATATGTTAATTGTACAGGAAAATTTAATTGACCAAAATTAGGATGATTTACTTCAATAGTCTACAAGCTAGTTTAAATAGTCAAATGCTTATATAATAATGCTACTCTAACAAAAAAAAAAAAATTAGTAGACCCAATGATGTGATTCTTGTATATAATTTTTCTATAATAAATTCGAACAAGAAGAATTTATGTTATGGGTTGACCCTAAACAATTAGACTGAACACATTTCCAAACTCCAATCATTAACCAAACCAACCCCTTGAGGTTTGCTAGCTGTTTTTCGTGATGAGAAGACAATGATCATCAACTTTGAGGAATGCATTTAAATATTTTGTTCTAAAATCAAAATAGATGCTAGTAAATTTCATGTAGTTGTATCTTCTGGACATAGGTTTGGTATGCTAGCCATAAGTTAATAAGGAAGCCGTGGCATGGCATGAGTTTAAATATTTAATGTAGAAAATTTGTGCAAATAATTCCAGGGAAAATTATAAAAAATTAAATAAAATTAAATAATTCTAAGGTTTCACTTTTGGTAATAAATCAAATTCTAATTTTTTAATTATTTTAATTTAAATTTTGAACTTTTAAAATGATATCAATTTTAATAATTTGTTAGTCAACATGATCAATTCAGATAATTTAATCACTTATTATCAATGGTATTGGACGACCAAAGTTACGGACTAGGGAATGAATGAGAGGGGGTGGTAGTGAGTTAGGGAAAGGAGAGTAGCGGTGGACAGAAAAAATAAATGGAGCGGTGGTAGTTGGTTAGGGAATAGGAGAGCTAGTAATGGAAGACGGGTAAAGATCAGAGATGGTTGTCAATAGTAATGTAGGGGGAAAAATGGTTAAATAGAAATAGATAGATATAATTGATACTATTTTAAAATTTCAAGATTTAATTGAAACAAATAAAAAGTTAAGATTTGATTTGATTTGTTACCAATGTCAAACTTACGAGTATTTTTTATAATTTTTCCTAAAATAATTTTCCTTTTTCTTGTGTCTTGAGACACAAAAAATATTTTTTAATTGAAGCATTGTTAGATATTATTAAATTTTTTTTTTACCATTTTATGTTACTAGAGTATATGATAATATTTATATATTTTTAAATAAAAAATTCACTTAAGTGGTGATTTAAAACACAATCTTTGCGCTATTTTGAGAAGTGGGTTAAAAGTCACTTTTCACCTTTTAACTCACTTCCTTTTTTCACAAAAAAATCAAAAAGAATTAAAAAGTAACTTTTAACTATCTTTCCAAAACATCCCTTACAGACACTGCCCCTTGCAAAGAATGGCTAACAAAAATATTGAATATTACAATCATACCACTTAGCGGTATCACTATGCAATGAGACATTTTAATTTGCAATAACGATCACAACAATATTAAGTTAGTAGGAGACAAGAATTATTAACTTAATTCTTTTATAATTTTTTATTGATCAATGACACTACATAAAATGATATCACTGATGTATTTAATATTTTTTCGTTAAATTAGGCATGGTCTTAAAGACTAGGAAGAATGAAATTGTGTTAGATTGTTGAGTCAACCCATATGTGAATCATAGGAAAGTGACATTGACCAATGTTGTGTTAAGAAGAATTGAATTTGGATGGCTATCAGATAAAATAGGATAAAATAGAGAAGGAAAATAAAAAGAGCTATATGTGGTTGAATTTGTATTCATTATAGTTAGAGGTGTAAATTTGGTCTGATCCATGTCAGGTCGCATGGGCTCTTGCTAGAGTTTGGGTCGAATTGGGCCAGTCTACGGGCCAAAAAACTAGGCCAAGGACCCAATGGATATTCGAGCCTCAGGCAGGCTGGCGAGCCTGGGCATGGGCTGGGCTTGACCAATTTTTTAATTTTTTTATAAAAAAAATTTCACCCAAAATTTATTTTTTTTTTTACCAAAAATGACATTGGGTCTCGGGCAGGTCGGGCCTCGAATGGGCCTAGAGCAGACCAATAGGACGAGCTTGTTGGAAAAAATTATTTTATGGTGACTTTAATGTGAAATTAAAGTAGGTCCCAACCATTGGTTGAGATGGGATTAAATGGGTTTAAATTCTTTGTAAAAAGGCAAATTCCTGGGCTTTCTAGTGACCAACCGGGGTATAAAAGTTGATCCCTCTCAGATCAAAGCCATCCAAGATCTTGAGAGGCCCAACACTGTCAAGGAGGTGCAGCATCTTATTGGCCTAGCAGCCGCACTAAATCACTTTATAATTCTATCGTCAGACAGGTGTCGATCGTTCTTCCAGGCACTGAAGGCCAAGTTTGAGTGAGATGATGAGTGCAACCGCGCCCTGGAAAGCTTGAAAAACTACATGACCTCAGCTCTTTTTGTACTTAGCAGTTTCCCAGCATGCAGTTAGCGCAATGCTAGTGAGAGCTAAGGGAATACAACACTTGCCTATCTTTTATGTGACCAAGACATTGCTAGGCGCTGAAACAAGGTACTTGCCGTTGGAAAAGCTGGTCCTAGCTTTGATGATGGCCTCAAAAAAATTATCGCACTACTTCCATGCCCACACTGTGATTGTCTTAACGGCATTCCCCTTAAAAGCCTTGTTTGAGAAGGCGAATTTTTCTGGACAAATTTTGAAGTGAGCAGTGGAGTTCGAGCAATTCGACATTAAGTTTCAACCAAGAACCGCAATAAAGGCCCAAACTTTGGCTGACTTCATGGCTGAGTTCGCGCCAAGAAGTCATCATGTTTACTCGATCGACTTAACCGAGGCAACCAAAAGAAGGGGAAAAGTGCCGTAGGAATAGAGCAGCCCCCAAAGCAGGACGTCTAACTGCATAGCAAGCCACTTAGGCTTGAAGAAAGGGAAGAAGAAACAGACTGCAGCACTGCCAGCAAAGACTCACCCAAAAGTAAAGTCTTGAGACAGTCAGACAGTGAGGATCAAA